TGAGAATTACAAAAACAATGACAAAGACCATTCCCTTGAGAGGCGCTGATTTTTCTTATGCTTTTCCCCTTCCAGCACACAGAACCTGATTTTTAATCTTTTCAAGGTAGAACAGGACCAAAAATACAGTTTAAGAATTCCCCATTAATTTGGAATAACTAGATGTAGCATCAAGAAAACCACTGCTGCTATTGGATGGGGAGGAGAAGATGGAACTTGCTACAGCAATACAGTTGAATCCATTCAGCAATTTATGAAGAGCTGGGAACCAGACTGATCTGCGGAAAGGAGAATGACAATCAATCTGTTCTAGACAGGAGGATTGGACTAGATGACCTTTAAAGGTGCCTTCTAACCCAAACTATTCTACAATTCTGTGGTGATACTTTGATACAAAGCTTTCTGATCACACCAAGCAACATCTGGATTTAGAGAATCTCCATCATCTTACAGGCTTTTTTATAAACCCTGTGAAAATCCAAGTCTTCATTTTAAGACAGTGATTTAAATGACATCCTGAAAATGTAATGATGATTCAACCTGTTAAATCCACCTCCTAGCATGTGCAAAATAAGGAACCCAGGAATTGTGAAATCAAATCTTAGTATGTTCATTCAAATAAACAATAGAATTGATAAGCTGAAAGTAGGTGGAGAACACTTTGGATCATGAAGTTACAAGTTCAACACTTCACTTTTAAGTATGCTGAGTTTTACAACATTTCTCAAGATGAGAAAGAAGCTTATGAGAAGAAAACTGACAAGTAAGATATTGACTTGATGTATGCAAAAATGTAGTCATTTTGCTTGAAATGAAACAGCACCAACATTTAACAAAGCCAGGCTGAAGCTTCATTTGAAACAAATTACTTTTTTCTTCCTACATGCATGGAGGGGCTTGTGAACATTTAATGACTTCATTTAATAACGTTTCTGTTTACTCCAACTAGCAAATAATTCTTGGAAATATTAACTCAAATCAGTTGACCAATAACTGAGCAATTTCCTGTGAGTACATGCAGAATATCTGCACTCAAATTCTAGTACAGCAAGACAGCTACAGAATTTCTCAGAAAAACTGAAATAACATCATACATTCTGTTACAATTGCTTTGCTTCCTTCTCTCCGCACTTACGTAAGATAGGTTCCTCGTACATTGACATCCATCATGAGGTTGACCTTCTTCGTTGCTGTTTCCAAAGTGCCCGTCAAAGAGATGGCGCTTGCATTATTCACCAAAATATCAATCCCTGGTTTTAAAGTAAGCCATTTCACATTAGCATTTAAAGAAAAAAAAAAAAAAAACATGAGTAAGGCAGGCAGTTCTTTTTTCTCTTTGTTTGAACAATCTGCCTGTTAATGCCTGCCTTCCCCCACACCTTAACTTACCTCCAAAAGTCTTAACAGCTTTCTCCACGGCATTAATGATTTGCTGTTCTTCTCTCACGTTAACAATGCATGGCAAAGCCTTTCCTCCAGCTGCTTCAACTGCACAATTAAAAAATTAAACATTTAAAAATTTGCTCTCAGATGGGACAACTAACATAAACTTCTGAGAACCTCTCAAGCAATGACAACTTCAAGATGGCACTGAAAATCACATTCTCATATTGTGACCTTTTAACACATCATATGAGGAACAGGGAAGCCAAAACAGTATCTTAGCACTGCAAATGTTTATTTCATACATCTCAAGTATGCATACATCTTGCATACATCTCAAGTATGCAAGCAGCATAGCATTTTTACATTTATATATATACATCCATCTTCGTTACTGTAGCATTACAGCATTCCTGGGAGGCAAGAGAAGCACTAAGCATATTTTAGTAAAGGTGAACTCGAACTAAGAGTCTATGCATTTTTCCACTCAGGTACAGTAATTAAGCAAGGGTATACACTCAGCCAAGCACCTTCACTTGTTACAACTTACTTTCTTGTGCAGCAGTGTAGATAGTCCCTGGAAGAGTAGGATGGGGCTCAGCTGTCTTGGCAGCTATAACAATGTTGGCACCGTCCTTGGCAGCTTTCAAAGCAATGGCCTTGCCAATGCCCCGGCTCGCACCTGTGATGAAGAGAGTGCATCCTGCCAGTTTCCTAAAGGTGAAGGGGAAAGTGGACAGTAAAGAAGAGAAGAATAAACCAGAAACTGTTAATCATTTGACTTTTATCAGACTCTAAGGGCAAATGTAATTAGCACAGTCTTCCAGCCAGAAAAACGCCTTCATCCTTTTACTAAGAAAACAGCCCAAAGAACACAAAAGGGATGGTTACAGCTACAGAGAAGTGCACTGATGTAAGACCACGTCCCAAGTTTGCAAACACTACAAAGAAAGTTACCCAGTTACATTTCTCCCTTTTTGTAAAAAGATCCAACACACTGTATCACAACAGAGCTGCTATGTTCTCAGCAATGGAAAAGAAGTAATTTGTAAAAACAAAATGCCAGTTTCCAACAAGACAACACACCTACACAGATCTCTGAATTCTATTAATCACAATGCTCTAAATACAAAAAACTGATGTCTCAATGGGGTATAAAGTCTGGAACCACAGCACCATATGCAAATGCCAAAAGCTTTATTTTCAGAAATGGCAATTTTTCTCCTAAATTTTTCTCCATACTCAACAGCTTCCTAGTAACTGTGTGTAGTCCAGTGGATAAACAGGTAGTAGTCCAGTCCCATAAACAGGTCCAATCATCTGAAAGAAACTATCTAGTTTTAAAGCTTAAGAAGGATGTCTGGCTAACACAGTATCCCTGATTTTTTGGAAAGACAAATATCAACTCCACAAGCATATTCAATGATAAAGTCTTTTAGACAACAGGTTTGCATATGAAGGAATGTGAGTTTCAGTGCATTCCATACATAAGGGTCTTGTTTCTTTATGTAACACTGTAGCAAAAGGCAGGAGGTTCAGGATTTTAACTTCAGTTGAAGAATTCATATAAACTATGTGCAACAGCAACTTCAATTTTTGCTCGCATCACAAAAGTCACACCATAAATGTTACAAAAGCTTACATTCTGAGCTTCCATTAATTTTCCTTTCAGATTGGGCCAAACTTAGTATTGTTTCTCCCCATCCGGTTTCAGGTATGTTTTTCCCCCTCTAATCTGAGCACATCTATCACTTAAATGCTCTCTAGGAGGATGTTTGCTTTCAAAAGGCAGAAAATTGGAATGGGGCAGAAAGGGGGAGACGCCTCTTCCCCCGAAGAGGCAAGGCTAGGTAGGCATCTACAGGATCTCAGAAAGTCAACCATGTCCAGAAGATGTAATTTCAAACAGCTTTTATCTACAAAATCTTAGAGTCTTAGAAAGGCACAGGAAGAAAAATATCTAAACAGAAGAGTGAACCACAAAAATCTACTGATATGAACTCAGTCACATACACAGTGAGGAAAGTTAAACTGTGGAACACATAGTCAAAGTGTAAAAGTCAGTGAAGTAAGGTCAGAATCTAGTTTCTACCTCCTTCAACCAATCAATATGAGGTCAGCATAATTCACCTTAGTCAGAGAAGAGGCAAATGGACCCCCTGGAAGAGGGGTCCAGCAGGAGGCAGCTCTGGAGGAGAAAAGAGCAGAGAAAAGCTGATAGGGCTTTAAGCCCTGCCTGCGGCTGGAGTGATCTACTCAGGAAGACAAGAAAGTGTACCAGAGACAAGCAGGACTATGCAGGGAACTTAGATCCAAGAAAAGTGTCATACAGGGAGTGGGTGCAAAGACAGGCCACAAAGAAGGAATTAGAAACACTGCCAGGGCACATTGGGGTGGTGCCAGTAAATCAAAGTTCACCTGCAGCAGAAGCTTGTGAAGGACATCAAAAGCTCAGAGACTTCTGCTACACTGGTAGGGATAGCAGGCCCTTTGCTTAAGAGAGTGGGTGAATGCAAGTCTTTCAACACTGTCAGAGTATTTTTGCTTCATATTTAAGACATGATGCCATGATCTGAATGCATGTGCAAAATGACAGGTAAAAAACTAGTTGGTTAGTCAGGTTCAGAGGGTGGTGGTTAGTTAGTCATATTCGCAAGACTAAGGATTTCTTTCTTAATTCACTTAGCAGCCCATTAGTTTAAAGTTCATAAAGAACATCTGCCTGGCTAAAATATCTTATGATCTGTATTGTGAAGGTCACATCTGCATCACTTCCATTAAGAGATGAATTCTGCTAATAAGACAGAAAACATCAAATTCACATCTGTGTCCTACAATCTTGGAAAACAAGATCGGTTCCTTTCCCACCACAGATGACTGCCAATAAAGACCTTCAGGTCACATCAGGGACACTTTTAATGACTTACATAGATGCTAAGAATTTAATAATCCTCTTTATAACACACAGGAACTAATAATAACTTATCTTCCCATGTGTTATCTGAAAAGCCAAAAGGCAGAAAACACCGCTAAATTAAGATCCTATACAGGAAGAAAATTTGGCTGCCAGGTAAGACAGTAGTAGAAGACTATAACACTAAACAACAATAACAAAAATAATAACAAAAATAGCAACAACAACAATACTAATAGTAATAAGTAATTATACTTTAATAAAAATGTTCCATATGAAATTACTGATACACTGCCTAATTTACATTAAACTCCTCCAGTAACTGCTTCCCTTGCATAAGGCACCGTTCAAGTCCCCTGTACGATCCGCACTGCTCGTCCTAGGGCTCCGGTGCTGCCCGGGCCCCTCGGACACGCGTGTCCTCCGCCACAGCTCCTCGCCCTCGGCCGCTGCGAGTCCCGCTCGCCCCGCACGGCGACGGCGCTCAGGGTGTCCCGCGAACCCCCGGCGGCCCCGGCCGCAGCCCGCCTGCCCCGAGAGCCCCTGGCGGGCGCACAGCCCCGTCCCGGCGCGGCGGGGACACCTTACCCGGTGTTGGGCAGCATGGCGGCGCGGGCGGCCGGGACGGGCCGGGCCGGGGCAGGGGCAGGTCCGGGGCCGCTCCGCTGCGCAGCCGCCGCGGCCGCTCGGGGCGGGGCCGGGACCGGGGCCGGGGCCGCTCCGCCGCCGGGACCTGCCGCTCTGCCCAGGGGCTGGGGCACAGCGCGGGTGCCAGGCTCGGGCTGCGAGCTCACCTGAGACTGGAGAAAGGCCTACGCGGGATGAAGAGTGGATCTGGAAGGCTTTCCGTATCCTTTCGTTCTCTCTTCTCGTCATGTGTATGAAATTTTGCTTTGGTCTCCTGCCAATTGCACTCAAATCACTGGAGCTTTGCCTCCATCTCATCTTCTGGAGTGCTGTGTCCAGTTCGGGGCTCCTCAGGACAAGAGAGACAGGGAGCTACTGGAGTCAGCGAGGTGGGGGAGCAGTAAGGCGATTTGGGGCCTGGAGCTCTTCTTTTCTGAGGGCAGACTGCTGGAGCTGGGCCTGTTAGTCCAGAGATGAGTGCGAGGGGATCTCCTTAATGCATATGCGTATCTCTAAGCTGGATGCCAAGACGGTGGTGCCAGACTCTTTTCAGTGGTGCCCAGAGACAGAATACGGAGCAGTGGCCATAAACTAAACTACAAGAATTCCACTGAAACACGACAACTTCTTTGTGTTGAGGGTGGCACAGCACTGGAACAGGCTGCCCATGGGGGCTGTGTCATCTGCCCTAGGTCACCGTGCCTTGACAGGGTGGTTGGAGTAGATAATCTCCAAAAGTCGCTTTCAACTCTAAGGATTTTGTGACTCCCTGTTTATTAGATAGCCTGAAGTAGGATCCTGTGTCTGTTCACCCAGCCACACCTATCCTGTCCTTCATCCTTTCCACTAGTACCTCTCTTATTTCACAATAACTTCAAGGTCATACCTCTCCTCTGTGCCCTGCATGTATAACTTTTCCTTGTCCTCCCTCTGTTGCCCAATGAAAACTCTGACTTCCTCCCGTGCTTGCCATGCTGACCACCTTACTGTGGTTAGCAAATCTTCCACCAGGTTCCACCTTTGGCTTGTCTTTCCTCCTTCAGCTCTCACAGAGATTCTGTGCAGCACCTTGAGAAGGCTTCAGGTTTCACAGAGAGCTGATGGCAGAAGGGGAAATCACCTGGTAGATCTGAACCTGCTGGAAGAATTGTGACAGATGGTTTTACTGACTTCAACAGAAATCAAAGTGAACCCTGAGCAGATGAACTAGCCTGTGTATTAATATAATGGTGGTTGTTGGTTCCCTTCACTGCAGTTCACAGTGTTGCAGGGCTGCAGACTCCTGCATGACTGAGGTGAGAGCAGGCTAAAGGGGCCAAGGGCTGTCTGAACACTTTGTAACCTCCATAAATAACGTCTCCCATACCACCTGCTTTGCCAGGGTTGACATCCAGCACAGACAGAAGTGATGTGCTTTGGTAAGATCTTCAGGCATGCTTTTCCTTCATTCTCCCTGCAGCCACTCAGCCCAAATGACCAATGCACAGCTTGACTGCGTTGGTCATTTGGCATACCCCAGCTGTAAGCCTCATGCCTGCGGTGTTCTCCATGGAAGTGAGCCGTAGTGACTGTGTGTAGAGAGCTGCCTTTCACCTACCTTCACAGGCACCTGCAGGAGAAACACCTGGGCATCACGGTTCAGCCATCTTCCCCTTGAGTGTTTGTTTTGTTCCCTGGTTTGTTTTTTTTTTCTCTCTCCAGAATGTAATAGGGGAACTGAAGTGATGGGGCTTTTTGCTGTATCAGGAGGGTCAGTTTGGAAGGCTTTTTTAAACATGAGGGGCAGAAGGCATTTGAACAGGCACTGCAGGAGGTGGAAGGCTCGAGCGCTGAGTTTCAGCTCACCCTGCCTCACTTCAGGAGCTGAGCAGGGGAGCACGGGTTTGCCATGGGCTGAGCACCCTTGCGTCTGTGCTTGCATCCTGTGCTCTGCTCTCTACACTGCAGAAACCCCGTGGTCCTGGGGGGCAGGGGGAGGACACCCCTCTGCTCTCTCAAGTGCCCTTCCCTCCGATGGTGCAGCATGCACCCGGAGCTGGCTCCTGACCCCGCAGCTACTCGCAGGAGAACGTGGAGCGCCCTTTCCTTTCAGAACGACTCCTTTAATGCCGGTGTCGGCCGTGGGCTTTTGCAAGGCTGCCGTGCCGCGCTCCCGCCCCGGCTGTGCCCGCCGTCCCTGCGCTCACGGCTCTGCCGCTGCCTCCCTGCGCCGGCTGCGCCTCCGTGCGGGGCCCCGGCGGGGCTGAGCCGGCTGCAGCCCGGGAGGGCCGGGGAAATGCGGCCGTGCGGCAGGAGGTGGCGAGCAAGGTGCTAGTGAGCACCGTCAGCTGGGCCCTGAGTGTCCTGGCGACAGTGAGGTGGTCTTTCAGGCTCACAATCGCTCTGAAAACACCGTCACGTGTGCAGAAATGTTTTGGTTTTTTTTTTTTTAGAAAAGCTTTGCTTTTGCTCTTTCAGCATTGGTTTATGTCAAGTTGAAGGGCAACTAAGAATGCTGAACTGCTTTTATAGGAGTTTCAAAATAAGGCCAGAGCAGAGGAGGCAACCTTGGAAGTGTTCCTTTCTGGTGGAAATACTCCTTGACCGGTCACGCCAGGACTGTTCTGCCAGGGACAGATGGTGTTAGTTCCTTGGGCTCCTAGTGTTGGTTATTGTGTAGAGACTCACAGAACAGATCTAAGTATTTTTGATACTGAGGATACCTAAGAGACTTTCAACAGCATATTAAGGGGTTCTTCCGCTTGATTGGCTTTGTAAATTGCTAAAGCTTTCCTTTATTGGAAAAGCTTTCCTTTAGTGTTAAATGTGCATGTTCACTGGGATAAAGTAAAATGCTGTTCAAGTTGATGTGTTTAAACAGAATTCTCTGTATTTTACGTAGAATTCTCTAGATCTTTAGGCTCTGAGTCTTGAAATGGAATTCCCTGTCCCTTCCTTTGATCCCTGATCCAGATGGAAGTTGATGGTATCATTCTCTCCTTTAACCCCTCTTTTAAATGCAAAATGATGTTATCAAGTGGGTTAAGCAGATGTTGCTCAATGTTTATGGAAAGCTTTTGTATTTTATGACTTGCCTGGCAATTGTCTGAGAAGATGACATCTTCTTGGACACTCAACCTTAAGTTCTGCACGTCCCAAACTGAACTTTGCTTGGGACTGAGTAGGGGACATCTCCCCAAATGACCAGCAGGGACCACTAGAGACCCCGAGGAGGCCTACGCAAGTGCAGCGACACTGCATAGGGTTGCACAAGTTAAGCAATTATGCAATAGGCAGGGGTAACTGTGTATTAGATAGGCAGGTTTATGTAGATTTCAGTGTGTGAATTCTCTCACATTTTAATCCTTGATTGGCTTGATCTGTGGAAAATCTCTGCTTTGCATCTCGGGCAGAATAAACAATGTCTCCTTTCTAAACCCTTTGTCCATCTTTAGAGAGTTCTGAAAGTTGGCAATAGAAGCAGTAAATGATTTACAGTTTAGAAGCCTTTGCAGAAGAATTAATTTATTGGAGGTGCTGCCCAAGCATTCAGAGAGGAGAAGAAATTAAGCAGATCCCAGCAGGAAGGAGCAGATGCGGCCAAGGCAAAGACAGAATCTGCTGCAGCCATGCCATCTGGTCCTGTTGCAGAGACGTTCCGAGTTATTCAAGGGGCAGTGACTGAGGAGTACGTGAGAAGTACTCAGGGTGTCTTTCAGTTTGAGCTCTCTGGTAAGCCCACCGTTTGTGCAGCCTTGCCTGGCAAAAGGCCCCGGTTTTCAGACAGAAACGCTTTGGAAGCTGGTCCCGAAGCAGGCGGGCTCCTGTTCAGTTCCTGTGAGGCTGGTGCTGCAGGCCCGCTGGAGCAGCCCCGGGCGCTGCTGTCCCTGTGTCCCGGCGCTGCTGCGGCCACGCTCGGGGCGCTCTCGGCGCCACGGCAGAAGCGCCAGCTGCCAGCGGCTCTGGGAGCAGAGCGCGGCCTCCGGGCCCTCCTGCCCGCGGCCCCAGCCCGCGGCGCTTGGGGCGTCACGGGGGACAGGAGGTGACTCCTTGCAGAGCCCCGCCAGCATGCGGGCAGCCACGGAGCCGCTGCAAACGCACGAGGCCGCGGGCGTCTGGCGGGGCGACAGAGAGGGAGGGCGCGGCAGCGCTCGCTGCCTTCTCACCGCGCTTCGCTCTCTGTCCAGGCGATGGTGGAGGCACTTGGTATATTGACCTGAAGACCAAGGGTGGGAGCGCTGGCTTCGGAAAGGCTCCCGTGACAGCTGACGTGGTCATGAGCATGTCGAGTGCCGACTTTGTGAAGATGTCCGCAGGTGAGGGACAAAGGCCTTTGTCGAGGGCCACAGGTACCGGGAGAGCCAGAAAAGCTGTCCCAGAAAAGCCTCTGCTGACAGGGGAGTAGAGAGGCTTCTCGCTCTGTGATCTGGGATTGGAGGAGCTTTTTGTGGCTCTGGGGAGAGTGCAGGCAAGAGCTGCTTGGATTTTTCTGCACTCCTGCATCCTGTGAACAGGAAGAGTGCAAAAAGTTACACTGCTTTTATTAACCAGGTACCGACATTTTAGCGGCCAGTGTATCTTCAGAGAGAACCAGTCAATGCATTGGGCTAGTGCTCTGCACATGTCTGAGCAGCGTCTCTTAAATGTGCCCTGCTCGTACCAGGAAGAGCTGATAGGAAAATAACCTGATTTGTTTCATCTCCCCTGAGAGATTGGAGCCATATGGTCTTTTCTTAGTTAAATCAGTCATAATCTAATAATTTCATTAAGTAACAGGATATTGCATCTGATGTAATTTGCTCCTCTTACAGAGTGTTTTCTCGTTCCAGAGAATGTATTTACTGATTAAGTAGTGTTGGACAGAAGACAATGTCAGAACTTTCATAATGTTAAAAATGCTACACTTCTTTTTAAGTGTGATTTCCACAAGTATCACTATTCAAAACAGCTCGAAACCTTTTTTAACACACCTCAAAATGGAGTCGTAAGAGAACAGATTAGTAATGAAAAAAAAAGTTATCCATTAAGTCAATAATTGTAATCAAGTCCTCAGAAATGTTTTACAGATGGATTGAAAAATAAATTCTACTTCAATTAATCTGCCTCCTCCTTTACAGCAAAGTGATTCAATATTGTAAAATATAGATAGATCCAGATATATAGAAATTCCTTTTTAGTTCAGATATTGGAAGTGTGTGGGATTTAATCACAGATTCTGGTTTAGCATTTTACCACCTGGATAAAACTAGGAAGTATATTCCAAAACAGAATTTCTAAATTCACTCAAAACCCCTACTCTAGGGATATTACTGTTTCCTGTGCACAGCCTATAATCCAGATCGTTTTAATTTTCTGATGGTTCTGTTTGTTCATTTTAGATAAGCTAAAGCTATTCATGGCTTTCATGCCAGGAAATTCTAGTATTAAAGGTGATATGATCCTAACCCTGAGTCTGGAAAAGATGCTGCTATAGTTGAATTTTGAACACTAGCAGAATACTGGTCTTTCTTATGTAACTACAATGCTATTTTAAAACACCAGTCCTCATTTTTTGCTGATGCAGCATAAGATCAATAGATTTTGTAATTGCTAAAGAAATCACAACTCAAGTTGATTATAATACCCAAGAGCAAACATGGCTTTTTAAAATAACTTTCTGTAAAGCTTCAAAAAACAATTATGTCCCAAAATTCTGGTGTTTCAAGAACAGATTTTTTAATTTTCACTTCTTTATTTTTTTCTGACTGTCCTGTGTCACTGTGAGATGCAAGCCTAAGAGACCTTTATTTCTTATCATGTTTTCTCAGATATCTAAGGAGATATGAGTTCTTATCCAATGGTTAGGGGATGCACAGCATGTTTCCTGTAAGAGCTGAAGTCAGCACTAACTTTTCCTCTCACTGGGGTCCAACACTATTTTTCTGCCCTGTACTGGTTTCACAAAGCTTGTATGAATTGACCATCCCTATCAGATGTTATTTTAAAAGGCTAATGATCTTAAGATATTGGAAAGGTCCACTGTGCACTCTTAGGACAAGACCTACTATGGATGCTATAGTAGAGGAATTATTGCAGCTGTTTGTCTTCTGCAAAGGATTTTTGCATGAGGTCAAAAGTGTTTCTTTTTACTCTATTGCTCACTTCACAGATTTGGAGGCCCATAAAAATGAAATGACTAAAAATCTTGTGACTGTTTTGCTACTGTGAGTAACTGGAGAGAAAGTTACAGGTTTTTTGGGTGATGATGAATGGAGAGAACGGCTCCAGGACGTGCATAAGAGGGACACGATCTGCAGGTTGCTGACACTGGTGAGCAGGACTGATGGCTCGTCGTACTGCAAAGGTAATGTGACCCTGGCGTGTTCAAGGGCTCTGTTTAGACGTCTTGCACCGGCTCAGCGGTTGCAGGTCTGCGCCGGGGCTGGGAGCAGGCGGTGCCAGCAGAGGGAGCAGGCAGCACACAGCCGCGGGGCTGCCTCGGACCGCCCGCCCTGCTGCCCGGCCTGCCGCAGGCTTGCTTAGGGGCTAGACTCGCCAAGGTGCGCCATGATCTTTTTCTGCTTAAAGCACGCGTCACATGTGGGATAGGGTGAGGTAAGCAGGTTTGCAGCAACTTAAAAATCTGTGTCTGTGCCTTGCATCGTCTTACCTCCCTTCCCTCATTCCTGGTATAAAGTTCTTGCTCCGTAGCAGGAATGAGGTGTAAGGTGTGTACTTCTAGATGACAGAGCACCAGTAATTGTCATATTTATTTGAACCACTGAAATAATCAGTGAGAGTAATATTTTGGGGAGAGACTTGGTTTGGAAGAGTGTTAGCCTGAATGCTTAAAATCAAATGAATGATAAAAATCAAACCCAGTGAATCTTCATATAATGTCCATGTAATCCATACAGTCTATATAATGGTGTCTTGCTTAATTAGTTCTATGCATCATTCTGTCCTAGAATAAGATGGTGCTTTGTATAGCAAAGTTAAGCTCTAATTAACTAAATATAACTAGCTCAAGCAATAATACATAGAGACAGTATCTTTTACTGGGGTGGCCTGTAGCTCTGCTTCCCACCATTTCTACTAGGGGCTGAGAATAAGACTTTGCCAGCTGTCTGGAGACAGTATCATCACACCTCTTGAGACAGGTTTACCTGCACAAAATTTTATCAGTGTGGTCCAGACTTCAACTTGAAGTTACTGTAGGGGAAAAAGAACAGAAAGAAAAGGAAGTGCCTGACAAGTATCCAGCCAAGTAATGAAGCAATGTGGCCCCCAGTAGAGTGTCCTTTCCAGAGTCAGCAAGCAGTGAAGATGAGGAAAGTGACTATAATTATTGTTGTCAGGCTTTCTCCTCTGTCAACTCTGCTCTTGGCATTAGGAGCCAGCCAAGCTACCGCTTGGTTGTTCCTGTGTATGATGCTGTCAGTGCTGACAGGATCACATTTAAGCAGTCACAGGTGGTGTGTGTCAGTCACTCCATTTGTGCATATTTATGGTTGGTAATGCTTACGGGTTATTTACATGATTATTATCTACTGTTCTATTTACTAACTCTTGCTTTTCCCCTTAATACAAACTGAAGTTACAAAACAGATAGGAAACCCAAGGGGAAGAAAGATGAGATTATTGGACTCTGAGCAATTGCTTTCTATGAGAATCTACTGAGATTTGCAAGTGGAAGGCCAAGGCAACGGCACAGGAAGGAGAAGGGGGAAATACTGACACAGCAGTTTGGGTCAAAGGCTGCAGGGCTGCAAGTGATTGCTGGGCCCTTAAGGGGCATAGAAAGCACTTGGCATTGCAAAGATGACATCACTTGTGCATGTGTGTGTGCAGCAATTGATATGTCTGCCAGTTGCTGCTCAGTGCTAAAAGACAGCTTTTGCAATGAAATTGTGATCACAAGGTGTGACTGGGAAGCCGCCTGCACATTAGAACCTAACAACCAAGGAAGCAGAAAAATGTGCACACTCTCTTGGCATGACATGGTTAAACTCAAGCTTTATGATTACCTCACTAGAAAGTGAAGCAATGAAGGAAAAGTAGGTTCTATCAAGTTTCATAAATGTGAGCAGTAATTTTGAGCTTGTTTACCTGTTCTCACTTTCTCCCAATCATAGGAGTCGCCTGGCATGAGCAACATGAAACTCTGAAAGCAGACCTTTTCATCAGTGGTTAAAATTTTAGCGGGGTGGGGGATAAGTACAATACCATTATTTTCAGTCATGATCTTTGTCACAACTTTGATTGTGAGTTTGCGTGAGATGTAGTATTGGGTGAACAAATAACAAAATCAGTGTGATGGATCTTTTTCACCAAGAAACATATTTCATACTATTTGTAATATTTTCTCCAGAAGGATGTTGTCAGCTATTTCTTTATTCATACTTTATTATTTATACTAAACAACTGAATATGATAGAGGGGAATTTTGAGATCCAGACTTTACTGTAAAAGCAATGTCTAGGTCACATCTATTCACTGAAACAGGTCTCTCAAACTTTGAAATTTACCAGGCCAAAAAGGGAGGGAAGAAAATAAAATATCATGGTTGCCTGAACCCAGAAACCTTGGGAGGAACCACTGGCTCAGTTGGGTTTTTGTGGGTTTTTTTGTTTTGGTTGTTTTTTTTTTTTTTCAGAGGAATAAATGCTTCCTGTGACAGCCAGATATCCTAAGTAAATAATGCCCCATATTCATATTTAGAAACTTTTCTGCTATTATTTTCTTCTCTTTGAAGAAAACGAGGGCCTCCCAAAGACACACATATGAGACTATGTTGTCAGCCTGTTACAGGTGGGCAATTGCAAGAAAGGCTGGAAATAGTTCCAGGATTTCTGTGATAGAGCCACAACTCAGCTCCCGCATGATTCCAGTTCTGTCATTGCAAAGATTTCCCCACTCTCCATCTTCTTGCGTTTGCACTGTGAGCTCCTTAAGGCACCCTGTAAAACAGGAGTTCAGCCCTCACAGCCTAGCATTGATGTTCCAACTGCGGGTCTGCTACAGCCTTCATATGCCATTTGCAGAGAGCCACCCCCTTTTGGGGGGACTGAGCCCAGGAACTCACAGCTAGCAATGTGGTTGGGTGAAGAGCATGATCCGGTTATGTTTTAAATCCACTCTCTGTGTGTTAAAGGTAAACATTAGGTAATAACTTGAGGCCACAGGCTGGAGACCAAAGCATCATGGTTTCTTAGACAGAAAAAGCCCAGTGTCCTTATCTTATATGGAGAAACTACACACTGTATGTTCAGACAAATCTCTCTCATATAATTAGCACACACTTGAAGTGCCAAGTCTCCTGTTTGCTTTCAAGTGGATTTCTTGTTGAGCTCTTATTACACACTTTTCCAATACTAATTATTCGGGCTTTTGTTTAAATTGCTCTTCTTTACCTGTATATTTCATCCAAGAGCTGACACTCACCTGCTGTTGCCAGAAATATATCCTGTTCCACCAAAACCCACAGGAATTTAATACAAAACAGAGTTGTACGGTCACAACTCTGAATGCACACAGACTGGATTCTCGAGGGCATTTCAAGCTTCTCGTGAAACAGTATAGAATTTCCAAAGGCACCTTGTGGACTGATCTTCATATACTTTTTCTTTTAGTGTTAACACTAATTGTTAGTTGTAGCCTAGTAACAAAACTAACAAGGGAAGGACCAGCAGAAAGTTAGTTCTACTCTGATATGCTTGGGTGTAAATGTGAAGTATCCTTGTGAGGTCTGCATTGCTTTTTTCAGCATCGTGCACATGTGAAGGAAAAGTGACTGCCTAACATGACAATCTGAGGTTCTCAGTGGAGAAAATTAACAGGTTTTCTTCTGTCAGTTTGTTAGCTGCCCCAGACAGGGTATAAAAAATTTAGGAGTAACCTAAAAGCTGGGTGTTTTTACTGGGCATTACCAGTATCTAAGCTTTCATAAGCTGTTATCTGCTTTGCATTTAATCAATCACACTCTAACTGACTTTGATCATAGCCCTGACCTGAAGTTAGGTATTTTGTTCTGCTGGTTTTTAGAGTTGATGAATAACTGCAGTCATAACAAATCCAGTGACTGTGAGTTGGGTGGTCTTTAGTACTGGTACTTACTCCCCCACGTTCCTTCAGGATCTCCAAAGGAAGATTTGTGCTATAGGCTGGGTGTTGAACCTCCAAAGGGAGTTTGACAAAGGTAGGAGTTTTCTGGTAATCAGTGATTACTGGAAAAAGACAAAACCTTTACAATGCACTGTGATAGCTGAATCCCTGCTCCTCAGGTTGTCCCACAACCTTCTACTTCAGAAACAAGCTCAGGGCACTCCTTGCCTGATCACCCCTTTTTTAATTCAGCCTGGTGTTACCTACATGACCAGAAAAATGCCTGCTCCTGCACCTGGGTAAGTCTGACCTGCCCTGGTCAGGCAGAGCAGTATTTGCAACTAGGAGTCCAGTGGAGGGATTGCCAGCAATCCAGGTGGCTGGAGCAGAAGACCACTCTCCTCAAGCTTTCCTGTTTGAATCAGGCTCCTTGAGGGCTTGTGTCCCATTAGTGTCCCAGAATGAAGAATGCCTTCCTCTCTTGGGGATTCTTGTAGTGCCCTTGTTTCTGACTGATGGAGCAGGGATGTCGGGTCAGTGTTAAAAGCAGGATTACAAGTGTTTAAATACTGCTGAGCAGGGTGCACCTAGATGCTGTGGTAAGTGACCAGCAGAGCTGAAGGACCATGGTCTACTGAAAGTGAGTTTGTTCTGAAATCTCCAAAAGTGATGAAATCATGGGCATCATGATTAGGGCATCATGTAGTGCCCCCATAAAGTAAGTTTTGGACTGGCAGGTAAGTGAAGGGCAAATTAACCAGCTCTGCCTTGAAATATTGTGCGTATTTAATTACAGATGTTCCAGGAATGCAGATATGATACTTCACAGATTTTGCTTTTAAAACCTTTCCTTATCTAAAGAGAAGCTGTGGGGTGTGAGGTGTGCTTGATCTTCCTCTTTAAGGACCACTCTTAAACAAATGGATCATGCTCTGATACTGCCTTGCCTTAGTAAATGAATTTGCTTTTCAAACATTACAGTTCCAGTGTTTTGTACAGGAAACCTAAAAAAACCCAAAAACAACAATCCCACAGACAAGCAACTTATTCACTTCCATATTTATTTGAAATTTTCAAAGGAACTTCCCAATAGCAGCATCCCAGTTTAGTGCCAGAAAGCTGGTGTCCAAAGAGGCACTTAATTGCTTTCATTCTGACCCTGCCTACACCAGTGCAGGTCTGCTACGTTGCTACTGAAAACACAGGGATACAAAGCCCTCTGCACAGTCATGAGAGAAGGATTCCTTATTTACTAACCACCAGTATCTCAGGTGTGTGTTGTAATACCCCAGCTCCACTCGTCACACCAGTTCTTTGCATTTGTCTTCCTGCAGTCATGGAGGAAACTGGCACCACCTTCTGTCACTGACCTTGAGTCCTCACAGTTGGGTGTTTGTAAGCTGCACTGCCCCATAGACCCACCTGTTGCTCTGCCTTTCAGGAGCACTGATGTCCCAGGAAGGAGCCAGCCCATTAATATTGACCTGTTTCTCACCAAGCCCTTTCACCTAGAGAAATGATTCAGTCAGGTGAATCTAGCTCATGCTTAATTCTCTGAGAGTATTCCAGTATTCCAGACTGACACACAGGCTTTTAGGATGGGAAGCTGGCTCCCCAGATTTTTGATGCTCATTTCTTTGCTATAGATGTTGAGGTAGAGGAAGCTTCAGTGAAGAACCAGCTGTCTGCCTGCATGTTGGAAGGTTGTCTGCTGCTTCCCTCACAATGTTACAGAGGAGGAAGAGGCACTGTAGGACACCACAAGGTTTGGCCGGACCCTGAGCTCTTCTAGGACTTTCTGGGACCTTACAGATACTACTCCCTCCATGTTCCAGGTAAATGATGGAGTAAAATCTTGCTTGGATCATGGCAAATGAAGTCTAGAAAGGAAGATGAATCTTTTAATTCCTACTGCTTTTTCAAGGGCTACCTTTTTCAAGAAGATAATTGTTGTGCCAGGAAATTTTTCTGACTCAAAAGTGGTTCCAGCTTAACTTTTTGTACAGCAGGAGCTAGTTTTGTTGGGCATATGTTCCTCTGAGAAACACATCTGTAAAAACTAGTTCATGATCTGTGTCTGGCTGGTTCTAACCATGATGAGCAGCCCTTGGAGCAGATGTACTAATAGCAGTCTGTGTGGGGAACTGCTGCAAAAAAAAAGCCTGTTGTGACAGTGGCCTGATCCTGCCCTTCTTCCTGTGACAAAATCAGTTCTGATTTCAAACCTACAGCTGGTAAAACAGACCATTCTTGACCTTTCTCATTTTTCCTTCTCATCCCAACTACTCTAGTGATAGGTCCTTTGTGTACGGCCAGCTTTCTGCTAAAATCAGAAATATTTTCTGATTGCATCTGTCTTCCTCCTGGGCCAGCTTTCCTCCTGCTGTGAGGGCTGAGGGGTTTCACATGGAGTAGTGTTTCACCTTTGGGTTTCAGCTGGCAAAGCTTCTGGTGCCAGGTCAGGCTCATGACTGGTGGTGGGGGCTGAGGTAGAGTCTGTGTGGGTGCTGGCACACCCTGCTCAGTTGGGCAGGAGAGAGCAGGCATGGCCAGGGCACAGACTGCGGGGGTGTGACTCAGCTTCCTTGCTGCCTGAATCAAAGGAAGGGCAGAGCTGGGCAGCAGAAACAAACCACTCAGCAGAATCCAGCCCACCTGTCAGTCCTGAACAAAAGAGGAACCAGCCCAGACTGAGTTGGTGCCCATCTTATCTCATGGAGGACATCCCTAGGAAAAGCCAAGCTTTGCTCTGTTTCTGCTCGACCACTGTGGTGCTGGAGTGATGCTGGGGAAGCTGAGCAGTTCACAACAAAGCCATGTGGTCACTTGGTGCCTGCACATTTTCTGTGAGGTGGTATCATCTCTGCTGTGATGTTGCTGTCACTTGCCAGGAGCTTTGGGCCTCTCTTCAAGCAGTCAGGTGTTCCCAAACAGGAGGATGGTGATTCCTCTCCTTCCTGTTTGGCAACTTGTACACCCTATTTCACAGCCAGTGTTTCTCTGCAGAAGGATCAGTTCATGTGGGATCTGGGATGCTTTTGCTTTTGCCCATTGTTTTTGGTCTGCTGGTGGCACGAGTGTTAATGGGATGGCAGGCTGCCCAGGAGTACTGGAGGGGAGAGCATGAGCTTCCACTGAGCACCATAAGCCCTAGCTTTCCTGGCACTGGCATCTGGAGTGAGACAATTCACCCTTGCCACACAGCCTGCTATGGTTGATGAAGGGTCACAGCACATGGGTTAGTAAATTGTCAGAGGTCACAGAATAAAATCCATGCTAGTTCTGGGATGAGGATGTGATACATCTTCTTTCTCAGCCCACTGCATTAATGACAGTACCCTGCTGCCTTACCTGGACATGTGGACCATCTGTGAAAGGTCAGCACCTCCAGCAGGTGTCCACACCAACCAAGTCAGATGTCTGTCTGGTTGTGTTTTATTCCAAGTGATGAATAGGAGGAGAAATGGCCAGCATAACTCCTCACCACAGCAGTCTCTTGGCTTTGCAGAGGCAGAACAGTCTCTGTGTCTGTCCACCCTGCAGCAGCCAGCACAGTCCTGTTGGGTCAATAGCAGCAGCTTTCCTTTCCGGAGAAAACCTTGTTTTCTTGCTTGGGAACATCAGTGCACACAATTGCTGCCCTCCCAGTGCAATCACTAACACAGGCAGTGAGCTAAAACAAGCTCATCCAGAACTACAATTCTGTGCTGAGGTGCTGGTGACGCTGTACTAAGCTTAACTGAGCTCTTCGACAGCATATGATGTGACCTGTGGGTGCTCCTAAGAACGAAGAAGTGAAGAAGGAGAAGAAAGAGGGGGAGAAGGTGGGAGGAGGAGAGAGGCTTTGTCCTGTGGCCCCTGAAGAGCATGAGAGAAGTAGAGAAGAACAAAGAAAAAGAATGCAAAGGAGTGATCAAGACTGAAGGCCAACAGTGAGGAGCAGGCCCCTTATGTTTCCTGACTGAAGATTATGTGAACTTGATTATAGGGCTTCCAGAGATGAAGAGTGTTTGTTTGGAAGGCAGTCCTCCTCTTCAGGAATTCCTTATTGTTGTTGAAAGTGTATTGTATTATTATTGTTGAAAGTGTAACCATTTGGTCTTGAAAAGACAGCTGAGCAGGCCCATCTTAGAGGCAAACAGGGCACTGGTTTCAACCAGTACAACCCATGCAGCCTCTGACCCACAAGGAGTGTGTGATGGCGTATTTCTGAAAATCAGATCATTCCTGTCCCTGCAAGGATTTTGTGGGCACACCAGAGTCCAGGAACGTTGTGGTCTTTTTCTTAATGTTGCCAGTGCTTTGACTATGGGTCCCTATTTTAAAAGCAAGATGTGAAAGCAGGGTGTCATGTGTTTGATCGTGACGGATGGAGGCAGACTCTCTCTCTTCTCCCTGGAATAATTACTCCTTCTGTTAGGGTTCTTCATCTTTAGGAATCTACTACTGAAATCTTAAATAATTAAGTATTATAGACCTCTGCTCATTGCAGCACCATGACCATGACAACCTACTGAAAATAACACTAGCAGAAGGGATGGTAATCTTCCCTAGGCAAGGTTAATGCTCCTACCAAACTCCCCTGCCACCTCACAGACAAATCTGGAAAGAGCATTACTTTTGGCATGAATACACTTCCAGATTGCCTCCATTTTACTCTTGTGTAAGCATTGTTGCCATCGTAGCTAGTAAGCATGTGTTAGCCCATTCAAGTTTTGCAAATGTTGGCATAAGGATGATGAGGAAAGAAAACCTCTGGGCCATGAAGCAGCCGGTTTAGAAGGCTGATAGCCAGGCCTGTCTCCTTCTGGAATGATGCAGGGTAAAAAAAGTCCAACTGAGGAGATGAGCAAAGTTTGCTTTGGCATGTGCCTTGCTTACTGTGGGAGAACCAACACCCAGAGAAAATGCTGTAAACACACAGTGAGCCCTCCTGTGATTAACTGCAAAAAAAAAAAAAAAAAGAAAAAAAAAGCAATGTTGCTGATAGGGTCTCTAGGTGCAAGCAAATTAAGAAAGTCTTCACAACACACAAATTGCAGTTTTTATTGTCTTACACATGGGCACAGTGTGTGTGCAGATGTGTGCATGCATATGTACATAGTCCACATAAAATTAACAGGTCGTGGCAGATACGACCATAAAAAAGAGTAACAGTAAATCGCATGTTTCTCTATCTGCACAAAACAACAGAGTAGTAGCTGTTTGGACACACTCAAATTGAGTAGGTGAGGTGCTGCAAATCAGAAGACCTCCACCAGAATAATGAGAATTACATTATTTTATGTCAGCTGAGAAGGTGTTTCATCCAGGTGCAACATCCAGGTTTCACACGCATGCATCTCTCCTTGTTTTCACTCCTGCCCATGGCAATGCAGGGAATGCAGATCCTGTTGCCTGTTTCCCTGCAGAGGGGGCACAGTGACCCCCTCTCTGCTCCCCCTCAGTCCCTCAGGAGAGACAGGTGTCCCTTGGGTGTCCCTCAGGGCCCTGTGCTGTGCCCAGACTCGGGCTGTGCCACCCATGGTGCATGTGTGTGTGCGGTGTGCCAAGGCACACGGCCTGCGGTGTTGTGCAGTGCTGTGTGTGTGTGGTGTGCCATGGCACACTGCCTGCAGTGCTGTGTGTGTGCTGTGTGCGGTGTGCCATGGCACACAGCCTGTAGTTCTGTGTGTGTGCCGTGTGCGGTGTGCCATGGCACACGGCCTGCAGTGCTGCGTGGTGCTGTGTGTGTGCGGTGTGCCATGGAACAGATCCTGCGGTGCTGTGTGTGTGCGGTATATGTGAGGTGTGCCATGGCACACAGCCTGCGGTGCTGTGTGGTGCTCTGTGTGTGCAGTGTACCATGGCACGGCCTGTGGTTCTGTGTGTGTGCCGTGTGCGGTGTGCCATGGCACACGGCCTGCAGTGCTGTGTGTGTGCGATGTGCAGTGTGCCATGGAACAGAGCCTGCAGTGCTTTGCGGTGCTGTGTGTGTGCGGTGTGCCATGGCACACAGCCTGCGGTGCGCTGCCAGTCCGGACCGGTGTGCGGGTGTGCCATTGCACACTTCCTGCGGTGCGGGGAACCGGGCGCCGGTTTCCGGTGGCTGACAGGAGCCGGAGCCCGCCGCTGCCTCCTCTGGCGCGGAGTACCACACACCCCCACACACACTGCGGGGAGGAGGAGGAGGAGGAAGAGGGCGGAGGGAGCAGAGCAGCCCCCCCACCCCAACCCCGAACGATATCGCCCTCATCCCCCCATGCAATACGGGCGATATAGCACGGCTCCCCGCCCCGCGCTCCCACGGACAGGCACCTGCAGGTACGTGACCCGCCGGCCGCACCGTGCGTGTGGATGCGAGTGCGGGGGGTGCGTGTGTGTGCATCCAGCGCTGCCCGCCGCGGGGGCGGGCGATACTCCCGTGTCTGGCTCGCTCTCTCTTTGTGCGCGGCCAAGGGCTCTCTCGGAAGCTGCACCGGGCACAGGCGCAGGTCCCCCGGCCTTGTTGCGGGGCGCTGTGCCGTGGCAGGGCTCGGTGTGCCTCCCCGGGCTGCACGGGGCGTGCCGATGAAGGACAGGGGGAGGCAGGGGTGCTTGAGGGGTCGTGGTTTGTCACAACATACGGAGTGGAGTGGAGCCCCTCGCCCCTCCTGGCATCCTCCTGCAGAAAGAAAAGTGACCCTTACAGCCCCCGCCCCGCTCCCACCCGCAGCTCCCGGCAGAAACCGAGGTGGGCAGGCGCAGGGGGCTGTGGTTTGGGGCCTCAGGGGTCTGCCGGCTGCAACGAGAACGGGGCCGAGGGCCAAGTGCCTGGCGGTGAGGTTTGGTCCCAAGTGAGGTTCGAGCCTCCTGG